CTCTCCGATGCCTAAGTTAGCATTCTGATTGTAGGGAGCTTGGAGAGAAATGAGAGAGCTAGAGAGCAAGGATTACCTCCATTTTTTCATTCTCTCCCCCTTGTCTTTGGGGGTCGGAGTCCTTATATAGTGGTGTCCTGTCAAATCAGGCAAAACAGCCTCTGTCAAGTCAGGCGTAACCGCCTCTGTCTCTCTACCGCAACCATTATTGTCAGAGCTGAGGTGGCGGATGCAGGTGGCTGCTGCAGATTAGGCTCTACCAGTCAAGGGATAGCTCTCAGGACTGGCAGGCACGGCGCCGCCTAGCAAGAGACGTGGGCGCAGGTCTTCGGATCTGTCAGGTACGGTTGTCGGGCACGAGATCTTCCTGCGATACGCCAAGCTGCCCCTAAGTGCCGAGCTACCTATGCTGAGCTGCCCTTAAGTGGCAGGCTCTTCGTAAGACGCCAGGCTGCCTGCAAAGTGGCCAGCTGCCTGTGGCAAGCTGCCTATGCCGAGCTACCTGTAAGTGTCGAGTTGTCCCTAAGTGGCGAGCTCTTCGTAAGACGCCAGGCTGACTGTAGAGTGGCGAGCTGCCTATGCCGAGCTGCCCGAGCTGCCTAGTCGTCAAGAGACTGCACTTGGTTTGCATGAGGTGTCAGGTGTCACAATTTCATTGGAGGGCCAAATCCGCCCTCATCAACTTCTACAACAATCTTAATGGACTGTGCTTCTCATCTATGGAGGTCAATGTTCTTGCTTTCTTTTTATGAATTGGTAGCATTTAGTAATTGAGTTTATCTTTTGAGGCTTTATGTTGTTTGTTGAGTTGCAAGCTAAGGTATGTCATATCCTCTGTACAATTTCTGTAGAATATAGGGAATAAACAAGGATTGTTGGAATGCCGTTGATGGGATTTATAGAGTTACCGACCTTCCTTGTTTGCCTCATTGAGTTTTTTGCATTCTCTACTGGTTTGTTTTGTGAGAATGGAAGTATGGAACTTCTTTCTTGATTAACATGCACTTCTCGAATTTTCAAAAAGATTGGACCAAGATACTTGCCCTTGCTTTCTCCAAAATCAGCACCAGAGCTGCCTAGTTATTACAAGAATCCAAATTAGAGAGAGAAAAAGTAACTAGACAAGAGAGAGAGAGACTAAAGGAAAGGGGGGAGGCGATACAGATCGGTCGCATAAAGCAGGAGTAGGGAAAGAGAAGAGTATGAGATATGGGAAGTGACCACTATGAGAGGGAATGAGAGAGAAGGAAAGAGAGAATGTAAAAAAAGCGGTGAAGATGATTCAGTCTTCCCTCCCCTATTCTGCCACCGCTGTCGCAACTCTAACCTGTGGCGGTAGCAACTTGTTGCAGCTACCCATTACTGTTAAACCCAACTAAAAATGTAAAAAATGTGTGAATAGCATTTTTACAATAAAAAATGTTGAAGAAACACTATTTCTAGTTGCCACACCACTGATTGGAAGTTGTAGCAACAATCTACGGGTTTTTGACTTAAAGGCAAAATGGACATTTCATATGTTCCATTACAATTTAACAATGATGGTAATTGTCAAAAACAGTAGGRATGGTTTAAGACAATAATTAAATAATAAGGATATTGTTTGTTAATTAGCTAAATAGTAGGGGTAATTTAAAAAATTTGCCCTATTTCAAATTGTCATTTAGTTGCATTATATTACCTGATTATGCAATTACAATTCCCTTCTAATGGTGAAGGGAATTTTTTTTGTTAACATGCTCATGCAAAAAGGGGGAAATGACATTACACACATGGGTAAGACCAAAATAAACTATTGACGATAGTTTTTCCATTATCCAACGAGAGAGGATCACAAAGGATCTTTTATATGGGAAGACCAATACCTCAGGACATACCCAATATCACATAGGATTGGCCCAAGCCAGCACAGTTCATCATCTAATGTGCAACCACAACATAGCAATAGTAACATTGCTTTGGTTGCTTGTTATGGTTGTAATTATGTTGATATTCAAGATTATGAAGTAGATTTCTGAAGTGTTGAATGTGAATTATCTAACAATACTCTTTCGGTTGCACTTTTGAATATGTATAAACTCTTATGACAACATTGGTCAAGTACTAACTAATTTATACACTTGTTATGAACATTTATGTGAATATTCAGATGTTTCAATGATAGAATGTAATAGCATTAGTTATGTACATGTTTGAGTGGTTCCAATTGGTTAATTTGGTTCTACTTCATGATGAATTTCCCCAACTATTTGGGTATTAAAGCTCTATTACGTAGGTTTGAAAATAGGTTTTGTTGATTTATATCTCTCCTAGTGGTTCCTATAACTTKGAGTGGCCACCATCGTTAATAAATGGCTCTTCACGTTCAAAATAATATTTCCCACTTTGTCAAATTTTGATGGACCAAGTAAAAGGTAAGTATGTATTACCTATATTTTTATTAGATTTTATAGGATAGATGTGTTCATCAAATGTTATGAGCCGTTAAATGTGATTTGCATGCAAAATCGACCCGTTGGATCACAATTTCAGCCACTGTAAACATGTATAGCAATCTGGACCATTAGATGAACTTGATGGTACTCCAACATAGCGCAACAGTGTCACACTAGATCGTTTATAGGGTGTTGCTTGAAACGCCCAAACAAACACACAAAAATGAAAAGGTTTGTTGTAAGCTTAGGTGGCAAATAACTGTATAGGGTGTTACTTGAAACATCCAACCAAACAGCATATCCAATAAATGTTTAAAGTAGTTAGGGGTTAAGGCATGATGCCTGTATAGGGAGCCATGATTGAAGTTTAGGAAGGATTAGTAGTTAGGGGTTAAGGCATGATAGACAGAAGATGTGATTTTCTTGCAATACAAATGTAATTAGATCGGAATTTAATTTGTTTATATTTGAATTCGAATTGAATTATATGAATAAATTATTAATATAGCATTCAACCAAGTTCAATTATTAATACAACATTCAACCAAATTCAAATCGAATTATATCTAAAAGTGATCAAAATATTGTATGTTATTATTAAAATGAATTAAAAATTACTTATATAAAACTTGAACCTATGACAATTTAGTAAAAATACAACATTCAATCAATTCCAATGATAGATTATAAAAAACCTCCAATGATAGATATAATAWAAATTTTAAGTATATATGAACATATATATTTAAATCAAATTGAATTGGATTATATCGAATTGAATAGGGATAAATTCATATTTGATCCAATTATAAATGGATCAAATTCGGATAATGGGATGCCATTTGCAGCCCTTTAGTAATGAACGATGGAGATGTGGTCAAAGCTGTTGTTTCTTAGGATTCTAGATCACATGTGCACGAGTACTCTGCTTACGTCTACCCACAACACACTATCCCTGTAAATTGGGAACATCTCCTCCTGCATAATACCATGCAAGAAGTAATGTGGATAGACGTGGGCAGAGTTTGTGTTGACAGGAGATTTGGACTCCTTTCTTAGCATTTATTCCTGGTGTTTTAAAGTGTGTTGTATTATGAATTGGTTGTATCCTACCATCATGTACGCACATACATATAAAATATTCTCATCTAACGGTTTAGATCACTRATGTGAAAAAGATTCGGGCATTAGGGACTTTTGCACGACCTGGAGTTGGATTGGATATGGGGGAGAAAACAACAAAAGAAAAAAGAGGAACCAACAAAATTTGAACTTGGACTAATGGATTCAAGTGCAATGTCTTATGCCCTGTTTACCTGGGTAAGTACATTTACTCATGTTCTTTTATTTCCCATGCAAACAAGACAATGACCATTTTAGCCATAAAAATCCATTATTACAAAGGGCATTTTTGTCCTATTCAAGTATTGRCAAATTTCCTCTAAGGTGAGAAAATTATTTACYCACCTAGGAGATGGGCATCACACTTACCTAGGTAAGTGGTACCTGGTACTTGGGAAAATAAACTTTCCYTGGTCCCCACATAAATCTGAAAAAAGAACATGGGATTTTTAGTCAATGGAAATCAAAATCCCATTGACCAACTTTCCCCCCTCTCAATATCCAGAAAAAGAGCGCCCCCTTACCAGTACCACAATAAATGCCGTACAAAGCGTTTATTAAATATAAATGGCAATGGAACTAAACAGCCTCTAAAGTCTACTTGGCATAGAAAGTTGATGCTTTATTTGATCTCTCAGAACCCTCCTCAGTAACTTGTTTGATGCTGTGCGAGGGAACTCTGGCACAATCTTAACAAGGCTCACCTGTTTAACGTCAGAAAACATGGAGAAGTTAACTATATATAAATAAAGCAAATATCCAAGAAAAAAACTTCAAGAGGCAATACCTTAAACAGGGGATTGAGATCTCTCTGAATGGCTCTTGAGAATTTCATCTTCAACTGGTCAGCATTGCAGATAGATCCTTTCTTTAGTACTACAAATATAACCAGTTGTTCTGGTCCACCAGTTACTGGTGACACACTTACTGCAGCGGTCTCCAATATATTTTCATCAGCTCTATCGCAGGCACGCTCAATTTCAACTGAACTAGTCTGTACATCAAGAAATACATTGAAACTTTAGGTTCATTCTGGGACTTAAATCTGTTACTACCATATTGCTGAAAGAGATATCAGAAAGCACAATACCTTGATGCCACCAAGATTCATGGTGTCATCAGCCCTGCCCTGTACAACAAAATATCCTCCAACTGTTCTCTTAATTATATCACCATGCCTTCTGAGATGCTGGAAACAGATATTGTCATTTAAAACACTTGCAATGTAATCATAGAATCTTTATGTCAATAATCAACATGAATAATTCTTAACAGAATGGTTGACTTGCATGTAGGACGCCATACCCATCCTTCATATATCGGCATTCCCTTGAAGTAAACATCCTCATGATCAGCATTGAGTAATCTATCAGTTGCTCCCATATAAAGAGGAAACAATCCCACTTCTCCCACACAAGGTTGATCATTTGGCTATCATGTAGGTAATAGATTTAGGCTTTTACATAGAACATGCTTAACAAAATCAAATAAGAACTAGGCAGAATAATAACTCTCACCAAAGGAACTCCCCGATCATCAAGAATGACAAAACCAGTTGTCATTGAAGCTGTACTGAATGCTCCAAAAGCTTGCGGTTGCAGAGGACTTCCTTGAATGTATGAAGATGCAAGCTCTGTACCCCCACAACATTCAATAACAGGCTTGTAGAAAGCTCGTGAAGAAAGCCATAAGTCATCATCAACATTGGAAGCTTCCCCAGTCGAAGCAAATGACCTGCATGGAAACACAAATAAGTTTTCTACTTGGAGGGTTATGTGCACGTACTAACAGCTGAAGTTCAAAGCCAACATTACTTTATATTTGTCCAATCTAGACCGTCCATACAACGTGTAGTCTTCCAGGCTTTAACAATGCTTGGTACTGTGCCCAAATGAGTCACTCCTGCATCCTGAATATAATGTAACAAGAAAAACAAAGGAATGACCAAAAAAAAAGAAACAAATGCCTTCCAAGTGAATAATATAGGAGTAATGGTTTTTGTGGTCATTACCTGAACAAATTTTCCAAATCCACGACTAAGAGGAGATCCATGATACAGAGCTAGAGTAGCACCAGTTAAAAAGCACGAATATAGTAAAATTGGCCCCATCACCCACCCTAGATTTGTGGGCCAACAGTAAACATCTCCAGGTTGGATATTAACGTGTGCCCATCCATCAGCTGCACTTCGAATTGGAGAAAGTTGCGTCCATGGAATAGCTTTTGGATCTCCTGTAAGAACTCAGAGATATGGATATATGAGAATTTTTAAGAAAATGGCATTATAGAGGTAATTAAAAAACTATGGAGGTCTGAATCCATATACCTGTGGTTCCAGATGAAAAGAGTATATTAGTTACAGATTCCATTGGTTGATAAAATGGAACATAGTAACTTGATCTGCAAAATTAGGTTGTTGAATCAATAGATCAAGTATAAGACTTTTAAAAATAGAAGGAACACAAATATAATCAATTAAACACTACATAACTTAAGAACTAACTAGCAAGAAAATATGAATTAAGAGAGATAGTTAAGTGAGGGTTGATAAATATGAAGTGGGCAAAAAACAGTAAGATACCAAGATATTATTGTACCTTGGAAGGTGAGCAACACGAGAAAGAAAATCTTGCCATGACAAATCATGCTTTCTTAATTGAACTCCCACATCATTTCCAATAGAAGGTACCACAATAGCTTTGCATGGATTGGCTTCTAAAACACGACTGCAATAATAAAAAGAATAAAACTGAAAGTGAAATATTTAATATTTCTGCAATGTCTGGTCCTCATGAGAAATGAAAGTGCAGGTATGTGAAGGAGAGCTATGATAGAGTAACCTAAGGAGAGCCATTCATGGACAGAGACATGGATGTATATTAAAACTTAAAAAAAGCTTAACTACATTGTAATACGGTTTATATTGTCCTAAAATAATCTTTACCTGTACAACGGAAATTTTCTTCCTCCTCTTACGATAAAATCCTGCATACAAGGTAATTGTGATCATCATTTAAGAAATTAGAACCATAATAACGGAGTAAAACTACAAAACAATCCCATGGTAGAAACAATTGTTCCATATGGAAATATGGTTAAATAAGTATGGCCTGGTCATCTAATTTTGCTACCAACATTTTTAAGGCTATTTGGTTTGATAGGAGAGTGTTATTTTCTATCAAATCATACACAGCTTAAGGAAACATTAATTATTTACAAAACTGAACAAATAAATAATCATGTATAGACATTTTTTTTTGATGAATCTAATCATGTATAGACATTTCAAATGCATAATGCAAATTCTTGGTTATTATTAGATGTTAAAGCTCAGTAGTGAATATCAAAGAATAGGTGAGTGATGAAACAATCTATATCAAGTAATAATTTCAGGATCATAGATATATTTGCTAGGCATAATTAATAATGCCTACAGAAAATGAAGACCAAGATAATTGGATACTAATATGAGACAGTTGAAATTTCAAAAGGAAGTTCATTYTCAGTAGATGTGCATACTAAACAAGAATTATCTATTTATCAATAACAGAACATGGTGAAAATATTTATGCAAGGGAACCAAATTGTTTCCTTACTTGGACAACTTATCCATAAAATGTTAAATACACTTTAAAATAAATCAAAATATCTGCAAGTTGATGCAACCATCAACTTACTATGCATAGTTTTTTTTGATGAATCATGAATAATTTTATTAGAATGAAAATAAAGTAAACTGACAAGTGGATACAATCCAGAGTTCTCCCGGAAGGCACAAGTTGCTGCCTTCCAAAGCACAGAAAATCAAAATAAAATTACAATTACAATTAAAATTGATCCCAGAACAAGTGATCCCTGTTCACCCCTTGCTTAGCTAGTAAGTCTGCCAGCCCATATGCCGACCTCCTTTCCCACTGAACTCTCAATGTGAGATTGGATGTAAGCCACTTAAATCTCCTTATCTCTCCCCTAAAAGACCAAGCTGCTGTCTCTGGTTCTTTTAGCCACCCAGTTGCCACTTTAGAGTCACCTTCAATGATCAATCTCTCAAAGTTCAACTCTTTAGCAATTTGTGTACCCTGTATAGCAGCTTGCATCTCTGCAGTAACCGCATCCCCCACACCATTTGGGCCAGATTATAAGGCAAGTATCTGTCCCTCTTCAATCCTAAACACACCCCCTATACCAGAAGGTCCAGGATTGCCAAGGCTGTTCTGTCAAAGTTGAGTTTTATGAAGCCTTCTTCTGGGGGTTTCCAGTCAACTACAGGTTTGTCCTTAGCTGAGGAGGAGTTTGCCACCGATTCCCAACTTCTCCATATGTCATCAAAGGATAAAAGTGAGAACAGCTCCAGAGTTTTAGCTCGGTTAATAGCACATTCCCAAACAGTAGCTACATCACTTTTATCATCATTAAAAATCCTGTTAGTTCTTTCTTCCCATACTGTCCACACTAAAGCAGCCCTTACACATTTCTGTAACACTCTACCTCTTCTCTTAGGCCACCTGAAATTTGTAGGGTCAAAAAGCCCCCCAATTTGCAGTGGCATATTCCACAGACCAAAATTTTTTTCCCAAAGATTAACAACAAAAGGGCATGAAATTAGAAGATAGAAACAGCTCTCTCCATTTGCTTTGCAAAGGAAACACCAGTTTGGGGAGATGCAAAGGTTGGGCCTTTTCTTTTGCAACTTACTATGCATAGTTGCAACCTAGTGTCCATGATTGTTGCCTATATTCAAGCTGAGGGCTAAAGAAATATCTACATTTTAAAGATGGTGATGTTTTCCTAGCTTCCATGGCCTTGGTTGAAAAATTAATAATTTTCTATCAGGTGGGTTACTTCAATCAATATGGATATGCTTTCAGTTATTGCAGAAATGCAATAGGTTGGAGGAAATTGGGCCTCTGATTCTACAACTTTCCAGATTGTCGTTGGATCCAAAATGTATGCTGAATAAAATCTGAAAATGATAGAATTGGAGGTGCTAATTCTGTTATCTTCAGAACAATTCAAATTCTTCGGAGTGTCATCTGAGTTTGATTGGGAATGAATTACCCTAAACATTCAGTTACAGTACAGAAACCAAAATATAGTTTTGGTTGAAACAAAATATAGAGCAAAGAAATGAAGGTTTTGTTGGACAGTTTTTGTATGCCCTTAGCTCCAATCAGTTTTGATGTACTTCTGATATTTAGTGTAAATAAATAAAGAACATGTTTGATTCATGTTGTGTGGTAAGCTTCTGTGTAAGACCCTAAAACTGGACACTTAATGAGAATTGTGTTAGTTTTAAATGTTCACAGCCGTTGGATAAGTCTGGGGAGATTTATCCTGCCAAGGCTGACGCTGGTGTGCTGTCAAATGTTGGGGTGGCTTGTCTCAGCCGCTAAGGTGAGACCCAAGGCACACGCAGTGTAGGATTACTTGAACCCTTGAACCGGACCAGATTTCCAGTATTGCCTTGGACCTTGGAGATTGATGGGCAAAACTGGAAAGTTACACCTGACCCCTAGACCCGATTATGGTACTGCACT